CAGAGCAAGAGCCGGCACGGACCTTGATCTTACTGGTAAGAGAGGTGGAGCAGACGGGGGCAAAGGGGAGTAAGGGGCCAACCGACATTTGGTTGGATGCAAAGGTAATGCAATGGGTGAAGGGAGAAACCAAGGAGGATGAAACGGTACCTGAGAGAGTAAGGGCACGAGGGCACCACTACAGGTGGTATCAGCAGCAGCTGCAGATCAAGACGGAGGATGGGTGGAAGCTGGTGCCAGCGCCCAAGGATCGTGAAGCAGTGATCAAGGAAGTGCACACTAAGCTGGGGCACTTCGAGCACGAGAGGACCGTACACCTGCTCAAGATGGGCTGGTGGTGGGAAGGGATGCGCAGGCAAGTAAAAGAGTGGGTGGAGGGGTGCGAGGCGTGTCAGAGGAGCAAAGCAAACCGGACGCAGGCCAAAGCAGAGCTGCACTCACTACCAATCTGCGGACTAGGGTTCCGTTGGTCCCTGGACCTCGCGGGAGAGCTGCAACTGAGTCGGAGCGGGAATCAGTACATCGTGTTCATGGTGGAGCATGTGAGCAAGTGGCTGGAGGTGCGAGCGATCCCTAGCAAGAGCGCGAGGCACATTGTAGCAGCCTTCAAAGCATGCGGGGAGGTACTCACAGACAAGGGAACAGAGCTCCAGGGGGAGTTCAAGAAGCTGCTGGCGGAGTCTGGCATCACGCACCGAAAGACCTCCCGCTATCACCCGCAGAGTGATGGGCTGACTGAGAGAGCCGTGCAAACCTTCAAGCGGGGGCTGCGGGCCTACGGGGAGCAGAGGAAGAGGGATTGGGATGAGGAGTTGGACTGGATCGTGGATGGGTACAGGTGCGGGAAGCAGGCAGCGTTGAAGGATCACTCCCCGTATAGCCTGTTGTTCGAACGAGAGCCGATTCTGCTAGTGGGAGCACCACGAGTATTGATAGATACAGTGACAGCGGGCACGATCAGGAACTGGGTAGCCCTGTCCGAGGTGAGGGCGCGCTACATGCGCTACATGATGCCAGCCGCGTTGGAGAATCTGCACACCGCGCAGCTTAGGGGCGCAAGAAGATACGAACAGAGGCACACAAAGGGGAGGGAAGAACAGCAAAGGATGTCTGCGAAGGACAGGAAGTCTATCTGAAGAGGGCTAAGCAGGACACCCTTGACGTGGGGTTGGGGACCATCCGCTGGAAAGTCAAGGAGGTGCGCCCCTCAGGGGTGCTGGTCTTGGAAAACGACACCGGAGCGCAGCTGAGGGAACATCAGATGAACACTGCAGTGATCAGAGGGACCGGGCCTCAGCGTAATGGTCCTGTGACTCGCGCTCAAGCCGCTCGAGCACGGGCACAGGAGGGGGCAGAGAGTGGCTGAGGCAACCGAAGGAGCTAAGGGACGAAGAGCATGAGGACTAAGGCAGATGATGAGGGTAAAGCTGTATCTCCGACAGCTGTCACCGAATATGCACGGTTGTGCATATAAGGTGCCAGAATCATGGTGGTGTAGTGGAGGTGTAGCTATGTTGTGTTTGCAAATTCGAGGATAGGTAGGTGGGAGCTGGGAAATTGACGCGAAGTTGGTAGGAGAGCACCTTGGGTGAAAACCTTGCAACCAATGAGAACGAACCAACCTAGGCTCAAGCCGCACATTGAGAAATGCACGGTTCGAGCCAGGGTCAGGTAAGTTCACTCTCACACACACCTCTGATGCTTTCTGTTTGTTATCCTTTCGTTTAGTGGACTGTTGTCACCTCACGAGAGCAGGCGGGTGGCACACCACTCAGGGAGGACCTTAGAGGTGAGAGTTCGGTCACTTTCATGAGGAGCTAAGGGACGAAGAGCATGAGGACTAAGGCAGATGATGAGGGTAGAGCTGTATCTCCGACAGTGCCCCTAAGGGTGCTAGCGTTGGCGCTGCTGGAGCTGGGGGTGCTGCTGGCGCTGGTGCTGTCCCTTCTAGTGCTGGTGCTTCTGAGGGTGCTGGCGTTGGTGTTGCTGGCATTGGTGCTGCCGTTCGTGGTGCTGGCGCTGTTCCTGCTGGTTCTGGGGGTGCTGCACGGCCGCGACCGTACTTCGTTTCGCTCCTTGAGCAGGTTCTTGGTCTTCCGCCCTCCACTAGTCCGGCTCCTCCCTTAGAGTGTCCACCGCCTGTCCGGTCTGAGTCACAATTATAGCCTACCTCTCCTCTGCCTGCTCCTTCTCCCTACACTGGTCCTACTGGAGGTCTTGTTGAGCGTCGTGAGCCTGCGTCTCGTCCTACGTCACCTGTCCGTGCTGCTCGCACTGGTGGTTGTGGTTCGCGTCAGCGTCCTCCCCCCATCCTCGGCACGCACCGGATGTCTCTGCGTCCGTCCACTGCTCCTCTTCGTGCCCCTTTGCCTTCTCCGCCTGAGTCCTCTCTTCCTGCTCTTGCTGACCCGGAGTCAGACTCCCTTCGTGTTGCCAGTCATAGTGTCACGCGTCTCCTTGCTATTGTCGTCACTGACCCTTCCTTTGAGTCCACTGTTGCGTCTGCCCTAGTTGCTGAGCTTGTCGACTTCGTTGCTCGCTGTCGTCTAGACTACGCTGATAGTCTGGTTACTGAGTTTGCGTCTGTCTGTCCTCCATCCGTCGGGGGTGAGTGTGCTCTTGGCACGGACGTCCTTGAGGACAGACAAGAGGACCTCTAGTGTCTTGCGGCTGCTTCACCTCATCTCGTGTCCATGCTACTTGCCCCTGAGGGAGACCCGGATGCACCAGACATCCCGACTCCGCGCTCTTACGCGGAGGCGATAGAGGGTCCCTACTCCTCTCAGTGGCAGGCAGCCATGGACGCAGAGATAGCTTCCTAGAAGTCCACAGGCACCTACGTTGACGAGGTTCCCCCGCCTGGGGCGAACATCGTCAGTGGCATGTGGATTTTCACGGTGAAGCGGCCGCAGGGTTCTCCGCCTGTTTCCAAGGCGCATTACGTGGCTCGTGGCTTCAGTCAGCGGCAGAGAGTTGACTACTTTCAGACCATCTCTCCCACCCCGAAGATGACCACTCATCGGGTACTGCTGCACATAGCCGCTCACCGTGACTACGAGCTTCACTCTCTTGACTTCAGCACTGCTTTCTTGCAAGGCAGCCTGCACCAGGAGATCTGGCTGCGCCGCCCACTTGGCTTCACTGGGACTTTTCCTCCTGGCACCCAGTGGAGCCTCCCGCGGCCAGTCTACGGTCTTCGCCAGGCACCTCGTGAGTGGCACGACAGACTGAGGACTACACTTGCGGCTCTTGGGTTTGCTCCTTCTACTGCCGACCCGTCGCTGTTTCTACGCACCAACACCTCTTTGCCGCCGTTCTACATCCTTGTGTACGTCGACGACTTGGTCTTTGCCACAGCTGACAGTGCTGGACTCGCCTACGTGAAGTCCGAGATGCAAAAGAGACACACGTGCACAGACCTAGGTGAACTGCGCAGCTACCTTGGCTTGCAGATCACCCGGGACAGAGCGCAGTGCACCATTACTCTGACTCAGTCACACATGGTGCAGCAGGTCCTTCAGCGCTTCGGCTTCACGTACTCCTCGCCTCAGGCCACTCCTCTACCTACTCGCCACTTGCTCTGAGCTCTGCCTTCGGATGAGTCCGTAGAGTCGAGTGGCCCGTATTCAGAGCTTGTTGGCTGCCTCATGTACCTGATGTCCTGCACTCGACCTGACCTTTCATACCCTCTTAGCATTCTGGCACGCTATGTTGCTCTTGGGAGACACAGACCAGAGCACATGGCTACTTGTGCAGTACGTCGGGCATGGGGCTAGTGCTTGGAGGGCGGAGTCCAGTGGTCCTCACTGGTCACGCAGCCGCTTCTTGGGCTGACGACGATGCTACACAGCGGTCGTCACAGGGTTACACCTTCAGCCTTGGTTCCGGCTCTGTTTCGTGGCGATCTACCTGCTCGTCTTCTGTTCTCGGCTCCAGTTGTGAGGCTGAGATCTACGCAGGGGCCATGGCTGCACAGGAGCTTTGCTGGCTCACCTACCTGCTGACTGATCTGGGAGAGTCGCCTCGTTCTCCTCCAGTTCTGTACGTAGACAACAAGGCCATGCTGGCCTTGTGTCGGGAGCACAGACTGGAGCACAGAACGAAGCACATCGCTCTTCGCTACTTTCTTGCTCGTGAGCTGCAGCAGCGCGGTCAGCTGCGCCTTGCTTACGTGGCCTCTAAGGCCAACACTGCTGATATCTTCACCAAGGCACTCGCGCCTTGTGATCATCAGCGCTTCTGTACTCTGCTAGGTCTTGTGCCTACCTTGCATCACTTGCTCACTTCTTGACCTTGCTTGTACTGTTACACATATATATATATACATGCTCTTGCTTGTTTAGAGTTATATATATATATATATAATCATGCATGTGAACTGGCCTTGTGGCCTTGACTTGTGCTCAGAATGTGTGGTGACGTTGTGATCCACCCTGAGCTTGATTTGCCTTGCTTTGCTTGACTGGTCTTTTGACCCCTTGTTCTCCCCCACTTTGCCTATGGGGGTGTGTCAAACTTATATGATCTAGCCTGTGTACGCTGTAGCGGGTTAGACACTAAGGGGTACACAATTCTAGGGTTTCATATTTGTATCACTTTCATTCCTTAGACATTCATTCTCGTTCTAATCTCCACAATATATACCCCTTTCAGATGGTAAATGAATTTGAGAGCATCAACCCTAAACTCTTTGTGACAAGGCGTTTATGGTTCTTAAAAAAAAATGAAACATGTAATTTCAAAGAGGTGTATTTTTCTCACATGAAAAAATGGCCAACGTTGTAGTAATTACAAAAACGTAAAGGCCGCGAGGTCCTTTCGCGGAATGTGTTTTTTTTTTAATCATTTTGCAAGTTCGTTATCATGCTATCAAAAATATGATTTTAACCGTTTTTGTACGAGCTATATATATGTATATCAAACGGCTCTGAAACTGTTTGGTGCGTGGTAATAGAACAAACGGGGTCCTTCAAAGTCGCGGCGGGACTTGTTCAAGAAAGATGAAAATGTGCGTAAAAGCTTTCAAAGTCGATAAATTCTTTAATTTCGGGATCATTTTCGGTGGGAGTTGTTGAAGTTCCTAGAGTTTAGTAGGCTTAGGAGTCATTGCTAGTGAGTTCTTAGAGATCGAGTTTAGGGTTGAGGAGAGTGTCGAGAAAGTTGAGAGAGGAGAAAAAGGGGTCTTCACTATAGGTTTGCAAGAACATATAGCAAAGGAAACAAAGAAGGTGCACCACCAAACAAAGTTTCTAATAACTACACTAACTACAGCTACAGGCAGTTAAATATATATTATGAGACTCCCCCATAACTGCCTGCAGTAGAAGTTAATGCAGAGACACCCCCTGAAGGGGTACACCAAGCGCAGCAGAAGGAGAGGGCAAGTGAGGAGGAGGGACTATATGAGGAGAGGCTGCTGGCAGGTGAAGCTGTTGGCTCCAAGGTGGCTGCTTCTTGGAACCTTCCTCAGTCCTCCAACTCCCCCTTCCATACTCCTTGACAACCCTAGCACCTCTCCCCCAGCTCCCCCACACCCTCACACCCACCTCCCCCCAGCAGCAGCTGCAGCAGTGGGAGAGAAAGGAGGAGGGGAAGGGGATCACACACACCCATCACCCCCATACCCGCCACCCCCAGAGCCTCCGTTCCACGGCTGGGGCGACAGAGCAGAACAGAGCGCACGAGGGTGCGGGTAGCAGCAGGGCGCACGAGGGCGCGGGCAGCAGCAGAGCGCACGAGGGCGCAGGCGGACCAGAGCGCACAAGGGCGCGGACAGCAGCAGAGCGGCAACGGGCAGCACACGCACGGGCAGCAACGGGCGGCAACGGGCAGCACAGGCACGGGCAGCAACGGGCAGCAACAGGCAGCACAGGCTCGGGCAGCAACGGGCGGCAACAGGCAGCACAGGCACGGGCAGCAACGGGCGGCAACGGGCAACACAGGCACGGGCAGCAACAGGCAGCACAGGCTCGGGCAGCATCGAGCGGCAACAGGCAGCACAGGCACGGGCAGCAACAGGCGGCAACGGGCAGCACAGGCACGGGCAGCAACAGGCAGCAACGGGCAGCACAGGCACAGGCAGCAACGGGCGGCAACAGGCAGCACAGGCACGGGCAGCAACAGGCAGCACAGGCACGGGCAGCAACGGGCGGCAACAGGCAGCACAGGCACGGGCAGCAATGGGCGGCAACGGGCAGCACAGGCACGGGCGGCAACGGGCGGCAACGGGCAGCACAGGCACGGGCACCAACGGGAGGCAACGGGCAGCACACGCACAGGCAGCAACGGGCGGCAACAGGCAGCACAGGCACGGGCAGCAACAGGCAGCACAGGCACGGGCAGCAACGGGCGGCAACAGGCAGCACACGCACGGGCAGCAACGGGCGGCAACGGGCAGCACAGGCACGGGCAGCAACGGGCGGCAACGGGCACCACAGGCACAGGCAGCAACGGGCGGCAACGGGCACCACAGGCACGGGCAGCAACAGGCAGCAACGGGCAGCACAGGCACAGGCAGCAACAGGGAGCACAGGCACGGGCAGCAACGGGCAGCAACAGGCAGCACAGGCACGGGCAGCAACGGGCGGCAACGGGCAGCACAGGCACGGGCAGCAACGGGCGGCAACGGGCAGTACATGCACGGGCAGCAACGGGCGGCAACGGGCAGCACAGGCACGGGCAGCATTAGGCGGCAACGGGCAGTACAGGCACGGGCAGCAACAGGCAGCAACGGGCAGCACAGGCACGGGCAGCAACAGGCAGCACAGGCACGGGCAGCAACGGGCGGCAAAATAGGCGGCAACAGGCAGCACAGGCAAGGGCACCCGTACCGAGTCTAGGAGCGGCGGTGCATACAGCTGTGGGGTCGGTGCCGTGGGCTGCTGCTGGGGCGGCTCGAAGGGTCCAGAGGCGGCTGCTGTTGCTGGGGCGGCTTCTCCAGGGGCTGCTATTGCTGGGGCGGCTGCTCCAGGCGCTGCTGCTGCTGGGGCGGCCGCTGCAGTGGCGGCGGCTCCAGGGGCTGCTGCTGTTGCGGCGGCGGCTCCAGGGGCTGCTGCTGCTGGGGCGGCTGCTCCAGGCGCTGCTGCTGCTGGGGCGGCCGCTGCAGTGGCGGCGGCTCCAGGGGCTGCTGCTGTTGGGGCGGCGGCTCCAGGGGCTGCTGCTGAGGTCTAGGGGCGGCGCTGGTGCAAGGTAGGCCCGCGCTCCGCTGCAACGCTGGCGCGGGCGCAGGTGAGGCAGAGGTGGTGGCCAGGGGGGAGGGCGCCGCGACGAGTAGGAACGGCGCCCAAGGGGTGCCGCTACGAGTAGGGGCGACGCCCCAGGGGCGCCGCGACGAGCAGGGGCGGCGTCCAGGGGGCGCCGCGACGAACAGTGGCGACGCCCCGCGGGTCCCGCAGTGGCGTCACGACGAGCAAGGCGACGCCGTGCGGGTCCTGCAGGGGCGTCGCGACGAGCAGGAGCGGCGACGCCCGGGTCCTGCAGGTGCGTCGCGACGAGCAGGAGCGGCGCCTCGCAGGGCGCCGCGAAGTGGAGGGTACGGGCGGGCAAAACAGGCCCGCGCGTGGACGTGAGGCAGGCGCGCAGGCGGCGTGAGGGCAGGCCACGCGCGGGCAGAAAATCGCCGTGCGCCTACGCCGCGCGCCCGAGGCGCGCGGCAGGACGATAGGCAGCGGAAGCAGGAAGGCAGCAGGAAAGTACCTGCTCTGAATACCATGTTGAAGTTCCTAGAGTTTAGTAGGCTTAGGAGTCATTGCTAGTGAGTTCTTAGAGATCGAGTTTAGGGTTGAGGAGAGTGTCGAGAAAGTTGAGAGAGGAGAAAAAGGGGTCTTCACTATAGGTTTGCAAGAACATATAGCAAAGGAAACAAAGAAGGTGCACCACCAAACAAAGTTTATAATAACTACACTAACTACAACTACAGGCAGTTACAGATATATTCTGACAGGAGTTTCATGTAGTTACCATTCGCGTGATCACTCGCCTGTGTTCAGTTACCATATGCGTTAAGCGGGTTACCAAACGAGTTAAGCGAGTTACCAAACGTGTTAAGCGAGTTACCAAATGCGTTGAAATCATTACCGTACGTGTTGTAGTGCCCCATGTAAGTTACCATATACATATTTTCCCAAGATTCATCGTGTCAACTACTATAATACGATTTTGTGGAATTCTTATTTGTTGTACCCAACTATCAATTCTCATATCCAAAATTATATACACTACTTCTGCTGATGCTTGCATTATTGCAGATGCTCTTGTTGCTTCTGTGACATTTCCCTCAATCCCATCCCCACATGACCTCCAATTTCATGTAAGGGAACCATGATGCAATGGGGAGAGTGTTAGAGGGTGGGTTGGGGAGTCTGGAATGGGGATCCATGATCTCCATGGAAACCCGATGGAGTTAGAAAGACACTGCCATGCCACCTTTTTTTCAAAGGGGAGAGCTGGGATGATGTTGACGATGATGTGCCATCTTCTTATTCATCTTTGTGTATGGGTTTGTATGAGATGACTTCCATGCTTGTGGCTGGGGGTGACGCCGAATCTACAGCTACCATCGAAAGTTGCAACGTGAACCAATGGAACTTGCCAGCTTCGGAGTGGGCCAGTCGAGTTGGTCCCTGTGCCAGCTGGCAGGGCAAGCAAGATACGATAGAGATGTCGCTGGTGGAGGAGCTTCGAGCAAGTGAAGAGATGTTGCTTGCAAGAAAAGAGTCTGCTGTTTTGAATTAAACGGATCGACTGAATCGGGGTTTTGAACTATTCTCCTCCTATGCTTTTAATCGTTCGCTCCATTTCCACGTCCTCACCAGATCCTTATCTCCACTGGCGCCGATAATCACCAGTATGGGCAGCAACAACAAAAATGTGGGGGCCAATGTCAGAGGTCCACTGGTGATCCCCGATTGATCCTAGGGAAGGGTTACAGGCACGTCGGCGTAGGGGGTTATGGGCGCACTCACCCACTACACAAACAAGCCCTTTTTATCCCAGTGGTTAGTGGCTGGGTTTCTAACATGGTATAAGAGCGAAGGTATCGGGTTCGAATCCCGGTGTGTGCACCTCGGGCCTCCCTGTGTGTGGGGGGTGTCAGAGGTCCATTGGTGATCCCCAATTGATCATAGGGAAGGGTTACAAGCACGTCGGTCCGGGGGGTTATGGGCGCACTCACCCGCTACACAAAGAAGCTCTTTTATCCCAGTGGTTAGTGGCTGGGATTCTGACAGCCAACGCAGCTCGACTCAACTCAAAGCAACCAAATTTGTGCTCTCATCCACTCCCGTTATGTCCTCTATCCCTTGTGACCATGCCCACGTTTGCACCTGCATCTGCTGCTAGCAAAAGCAAGCCCCGCTGGGTCGACTCACTTGTCCCTTGGAGGCCTCATGCCATGCTTTACAAAAGAGGCTAGGTTCAACATGGGCCAACTCAGAGCATCCAAACCTGCAGGTGGCGGTGGAGGTACCATAAGCGTGTGTAAAAAACGCGACTATCTAGTCAGAATAATATTCATACATTGTCAAACCCGCGTATTTATAATCTGATTTCCAACTCGATGTGTTTTCCCCACAGATCAACAGAAACATATACGGTATTCCATAATGATTAGTCAGCTGATGTAATCAGTGGGATCGTCCGTGAAGGAATTCACTCCCCCCTCGTCGTCGCTGCGGCCCACCCACCCCTCGCTGTCAGCTCGCACCAACACATCCACCAGCCCTGCCTCGTCACGCGCAACCTGGAGTGTAGACACAGGGTGAGGAGGTCAAAGAATCCACACCACAATCTTAGTCGCTCGCTGTGGCCCACCCACCCCTCACTGTCAGCTCGCACCCCTCCCCTCCCCACCCCATCCTTACCTGCCCCCCCCTCCCACATCCCCCTCCCCGTTCTCACTATGCTCTCATCATCCAGGTATGACACGGGTAGCTCTCGTGAGTATCTCCCATTCACCTCCCACCCTCCCCTTCATCCACACCCCTCGCCTGCCTCCCTTTTCTTCCACCCCCTTCTCCATCCCCCACCACCCCGTGCTCACCATGAGTTCATCATCCAGGTATGACACGAGGAGCTCTCGTGAGTATCGCCCATCCCCTTTCCCCTTCTTCCCAACTGCCTCCCGTCCCCTTCCCCCACAAACCCTTCTGCCCCACCCCTCCCCGCGCTCACCATGCTCTCGTCATCCAGGTACGACACGAGGAGCTCTCGTGAGTATCCTTCCATCAACCCTCGTTCCCCCTCTCCTTCCCCTTTCACCCCATCCCTCCCCCATCCCACCTTTCTACTTATCATGAGCTCATCATCCAGGTACGACACGAGGAGCTCTCTCGAGTAACGCCCATCCCTTCACCCCCCACACTCCACCTGCCTACCCTTTTTTTCCCCCTCTACCCCCTCCCCCACCTCCCCATTCTCACCATAAGCTCATCATCCAGGTACGACACGAGGAGCTCTCGTGAGTATCGCCCATCTGCATGGCAAGCACACCATAAAGGAGAGGAAGGAGAGGAGGGAATGCGAGGGAAAGGGTATGAGGGGAGGAGCCGATTTCTGAGTCGACTCAGAAACATGGAGCTCTCTTGAATATCGCCCATCTGAATGGCAAGCATGGCGGAAAAGAGTGTGGGGGGAGGAGTGTGACGGGCATAGTGTGAGGGATTTGAGGGAGGGGAGGTGGAGAATGAGAGGAGAGGGTAGGAGGAGTGGCCGGGGGAGAATGACAGAGGGGAACGCGCAGGCCATTTAAGTGCATTTTGAGGCGCCTCAAATAAGTGCATTTTGAGGCGCCTCAAATAAGTGCTTTTTAAATGCACTTGAGTGGCCGGGGGAGAATGACAGAGGGGAACACGCAGGCCAGCATTGATGGTGTCTTGCAGAGCAGGCCAGCATTGATGGTGTCTTGCAGAGCAGGCCAGCATTGATGGTGTCTTGCAGAGCAGGCCAGCATTGATGGTGTCTTGCAGAGCAGGCCAGCATTGATGGTGTCTTGCAGAGCAGGCCAGCATTGATGGTGTCTTGCAGAGCAGGCCAGCATTGATGGTGTCTTGCAGAGCAGGCCAGCATTGATGGTGTCTTGCAGAGCAGCGGGCAGTGACTTGAGGAGAGAGGAGCGAGGGTTAGGATGCGAGAGGGGGAGGTGGAAGCGTGGGGAGCGGGAAGTGGGGAAGGGGGAATGAACATTAGGGGGAGGGGAAAGGACAGAGAGACTGACCGAGGGGCACACGCAGGCCGGCGTTGATGGTGTCTTGCAGAGCAGCAGGGAGCGACTTGAGGAGAGAGGAGAGCTGATCCACAATGGCTGTGAGGGGCGCTGGGATGCTTCCACCTGTCACGATGGGAGTGGTCACCTCGATCTCCGCGTACTCCTCCTTGAGCCTGGTCGGTATGTTGTGGAATGCAGTGGAGTGCGGTGGAGTGTGGTGGAGAGGGACGGGGTGATCGTACCAAATCCAAGACGGTAAAGTGGATCGGTGATGAAGAGACTAGGGAGGGTGTTGACGCGGAGAAGAGGGAGATGGAGGAAAAGGGCAGAGGAGGGAAGGAGGCTGCATGGAGGAGGTGAGAAGCTGAATGGGCGAGTCAAGGAGGGAGAAGGGGGAGACAGGAAAGAGGGAGGTATCTTAACGATACAAGGGAGGCAAGTCAGAGGGAGCTTACTTAAGTGAGTCTTCCATTTCAAGCTTCGAC